CTAAGCGTCCAAAGACGTGCAAATACGCTCCCTGCTTTATTGTGTGGGTCCAGAAGCTCGTCAGCTGCTGGACACGTTCTTGCTCGACGAAGCGTGTCTCAAATCGTATGACGCGGTGCTTGCACGCTTTACCGCGCAGTTGGAACACCTAGCGAACGAGCTCTACGAGTCGTCATGTTTCCACAAATGCGTCCAGCGGCCAGAAAAGAGCGTGGATGCTTACTACGCAGAGCTCTACAAGCTCGTAAAACGCTGACCCTACCCGTCAGCGGTGATAAAGGAGCAGCTAGTTCGCGACAGGTTTGTCGTATAGGCTTGCGAGACACGCGTCTCTCGGATAAGCTGTGCCGGAAAGCAAGGCTTACGCTCAACATGGAATGGACTCATGCGCGCGCCCGTCTGAACACGCCGATAAAGAAAGAGCGCCTGCTCGACAAAGCATCTAGGGCTTCCGTGCCGCCCAAGTCGGCGCCGCGAAGAATCAAGAAGTTTCTTCCCGTCGACGCTCGGACGCCTAGCCAGCACGTCCAACTGGAGCTAAAGCGGAAACATTAGGCTGCTGTGACTCATCGACTTGCTCGTTCTGCGTTCGCGCACCTCCACGCGCGTTCAGACTTCCCAACACGAAACTCGCTTTGCAATTACAGCAAAAGCAAAGGGTACTTTGCAGAAGCGTGCCGTTCAAGAAAAGCTAAGCTGGGGCTATGATTGGTTGACGTCCAGATCAAGTGCGGCGTTGGCCAATTACGGCCGTCATAATTTTCGCCGACCCTTTCGCCAAGTGTCCAGATTAGCGCTCCTGAACTTATCCAGCTGCACGCCGTGGGAGAGCCCGCCAAGGCAGAGTACGTGGTCGTCACAGTATATAACTATACAGCGAAATTCAAGGTGGATTCCGGAGTAGAGGTGTCTGCCGTATCAGGTGACTTACCTAACGTGCCGTCCAAGCTTGAGAAGATTGAGAGCCTACAAACAGGACTTGGAAATCAACCGCGGCGTGTGCTGGGATCACATCTGGCACAACTGCAGTGGCAAGAAAAAACAAGTTCTCAGCGGCTCTACGTCATCGAGTCCCTTTTTGTATCTTTTCTGGGTCGGCTGGGCATTTGAGCTTTCAAGGTTGTACGATCAATTTGGTGCTATGGAACTCCATGCCGAATTGTTTCGCGGACTGAGAACACTCAAATACGAATACACCATTGGCATATGTAAACCGGACGCCGTGCCAAATTCTCACTCAGCGGGCCTCGTCAGATTTCTATTCCGCTGAAAGAGGTCGTCAGGCACGAGCTCGTGAAGTCGGAGAGCGACGAAGTGATTCGCAGTGTCGACAAGCCATCCCCATGGTGTTCCGGACTCGTCGTCGTCCCGAAGCCTACAGAAGCATATCAACTCTGCGTCGACCCTACGCGTCTAAACGGGGTGGTACTCAGAGAGCGCCACGTTCTTCCGACGATCGAGTAGTGACGCCACCGTCTTCTCGTAGTTGGGCGCTACAGCGAGCTTTCATCAGGTTAGGCTGGCAGCCGACTGAGAGGAGCTCAGGACTTTCGTTACTCCCTTTACTCGTTATTGTTTTTGTCGACTTCCATTCGGCATCACCTCACCGCCGGAGTACTTTCAGAAACAAATGGCCAGAATCCCACAGAAGGTCAAGACGGCGTGGCCAACATGATCGACGACATTCTCGTTTTTGGACGTTTTCAGAAGGAATACGATGAACGGCTGCTCGAAACGCCAATGAAACATCTAACCGCCAATTCGCCAGGTGAACACCAAAGGAACAAAGAAACGCGAGGTCTGCTAAAAAGTTTCGAATATTTTTGCAAACCAACTTGTCTCCTCCAAGACGTTAAACCGTACAGCCGAAGGCCTTCATTAAATTTCCAACTTTGTCTCCCGTGTAGCATTTGTGCTTTCTAGCACTGGTGAAATAAGCAGCCTCGACAGGCTTGCAGAGACGGAGCGACCGGTAGCCGCTTGGGACGCAAGAAGCGGTTTCTGTTTGTAAACTGTTGTGATTCGGAGAGCCCAATAAAATAAAAAAAAAAGGAAAAGAAGCAGGGCCGAGGCGGCCTGCTCCAAAGACGAAGTCTTTCATGCCGAAGCGGGGAAGAGAGCACCGGCAGGCCCAGGGGCGGGAACGCCCCAGAAGAGACGACACGTCGAGCAGGTTCAAGGTCCAAACACGTACTCATTTTTTCATGGGCAAACAACCCGGGGGCCAACCGCCCCGGGGGAAACCTACCTGGGCGCACGGGCCTGATGGGTGAACAGTAGCGCCGCCTGGCTACGGGGATTCCTGTGGCAGTTCGTGGCGCCACCTAGCTAGTGTGGTGAAACTTAAACGAAAAAAATTTAAATACAACATAAACTAACGGTGAGATTAAAGCGCTGGATGAATTTGGGTTTTAGAAATAAGTACCGCCAAGCTTGGGCATGTTGGGACGCACTTGAGCCGAAAATGGTGGAGCGTCTCCGCCAATCTAGTTTGTCGCGGCGGTGCGAGCATGCTTACAAACGGCGGCGCGTCACCGGCAGCCACAGCAGACCAATAGGAAATTTGTTTTAGGCATTTGTTTTAGAAAAGGTACTACTGCTGAGGCCAGCACGTGCGGCGCGTGTAACACCCATCCCTGAATTCTCCTTGATGCTTGTTATCCTCAAATGGTTTAACGAGATCTGGGAAAGCGGGAAACTTTCCGAAGAATGAAAGCTGTCCCTGGTCACACCTATACCTAAACCAGGGAAGCCAGCAACTGACCCCAAGAACGTCCAACAAGCCAGCAACATGATTGATGTCAAGGTATTCGCTTGACCTCAATCATGGGAAAACTTATGGAAAGAATGGTACTCGCAAGGATTCAGCACAACGCCGAAACCCTCGGCATCTTCCATCCAACGCCAACAGGATTTAGATTGAACTTGTGCACAGATGACAGTCGGCACGTGATATACACAGACGCCGTGGACATGCACCCAGAAAAAAAATTCGAGCGATCGTGTCGTTTTATATAAAGAAGGCATCCGATTCTGTCCCCCATCAATCAGTCCTTGGCAAAATGGAGCAGCAAGGCCTTACGGGAAACAACTAGACTTCGTAAAATCATTTCTCTCGCAGAGAATGTGGAGAAGGAACCCCTCAAGAAAACACCATGGAATTCTCCAGGGCGCCATACTGTCACCTACACTATTCAACATCGTCATGGCACCACTCCTCTGGTAACTTTATAAAATACCCAACCTCAGGGCGACGATGTACGCATATGATGTCACGATCTGGACGTATCAAGGGCCTCCCGAAACCCAAGTTCTCGCCTTGCAGAAGGGGCTCGGCACCATTGAAGAATATCTGGCCGAAACGGGAATGTTCCCATCGCCAGAAAAAAACGAAATATACCATCTACGACCGCGTTCATGACAACAAAAGCTTAGGTCTTACCTTTGCGGGAGACCCGGTCCAAAAAGAAGACTCCGTTAAAATCCTCGGAATGAACTTTGGGTACAAGCCAAGAATAAGCAAAGCTTGGCTGGCCGAGTTGTCCAAGAAATTGAAACACGGTATCAATCTCGTCCGAAGAATATCCACGAAAATGGGAAGAGGTGGGGAAAAACAGCCAAAAAGCTCCTGACTGCAGTGCTAGTATCCAAAATAGCATACGCGGCGAGATTCTACCCGCTCACGAAAACCCATCTTTCCAGATTTAAAAGCATGCTCAACGGAGCAAGAAAAGCCATCCTCGGGCTCCCAGCCACACTTCGGCAGAGGAAGTAAGCAAATGCATGATCCTCCCAGAACTCACCGACCGCATGAACCAACAGAACAAGGCTCAACTCTCCCGTCTACAGCATACAACCGAGGGAAGAAAAATTGCTAAGTAATTGGGAATTGAAATACAAGAAGACGCCCCATGTCATCGAGCAATAAGGCACCATGGGAACTCATTGACGTCACTCACGGGTGCAAACCTCTCCCAAGAAACATGGACGCTGCGCGGCACAAGAAAAGACGAGAACACCACGCCCGCATGCACAAGAAGGAGCTGGCTAAGTGTAGTGATGTGTAAAAGAGAAAGTTACGTCAGATCATATCACGCGAGTGCACTGATTGGGTAGCGGTTCCCATTGTTATAAAGTCAATAAAAGGCGAGCGATCGGGCCGATCGCTCGAGGACACGCTCAGACCACAATCCAGAACGAACGTGTCCGTTGGCTTGCTCCTGCGGGATCTGATGTCGTCGGAGGAATCGCCGCTCCGAAATGACCGGCCGTCTCCCGGAACCCACACCGCAGCCCGGTGAGTCGGACCTCACGCATCCAGCGATGTCCCGGCGAACCTGCCTTTAGGTGAACGGCACTTCATCACCCCGAAGACTAGCTGGCCAGCGCGCGGTCTTATAATACTACATTTATGGCGACGAGGATTGTTCAGGGTTCGTGGTCTGACGGTCCTCCGCGTCTGCCGCTCTCCGCTGTCAATTCGGGCTTCGTTTTCCTACAGCCAACCGCCGTTTGGAACGTTAGGGTAGTCATCGGCTTGGGCACCCGGTAGCTATCCCGGCTCCCTACGTTGGTTTATTGTAGCGGTTTCAAGCCCCGAGCTCTTTGCTTTCATTTCGTTTTTCACCGTATTTTCTGTTTCGCGGCTTGCCGGCAGAATTCCCCTTTTGTCCTAAACACCGCGTAAGGGTGTGCGACTGCTAAGTGCTCTGTATACTGCAGCAACTGTATGTAGCCGTTGGCTACGAGCATCTTTTGAGTCGCTCACCTATTTTCAAAACTTACACTTTGAAGTCGTTATGGCACTTAGCTGCTGCAGTTTGTATGTGAGCTTCGATTACGGTCCTCGCACCTTTTCGACTCGCTTATCGTGACTGTGCGACTCGAGCTACGCAATTCTTGTTCTTGATTTGCGGTGCGGTGCTCAGAGGCTTTAAGCCAAAGTGTTTTTCGGGTTTTACACGATTTTGGTTCTGTTTTGTAAAGTAGCTGTAAGAGTCCGCGCTCTTTCATGCACAGTTGAGCGTATACTCTTGCTTTAACGATATATTCAAACAGACATCATGAATACTGAACAACGGCAGATAACGGTCGTTCAGTCCGCGGCGTTGCCACCGCCACCGCCGTTTCTCGCAGTTCCGGGACCGCCACCACAGGCCTGGCCTGCATGGAAAGAGACATTCATGTCATTCCTAGGTGCGGCGGGCCTCGAGGGTGTTGACCCGAAGAGAAAAAAACAGATTCTTTTTTCGTTGTTGGGCATTGAAGGGCAACGAATAGTGTCCGCATTTGGATTCACTAACCTTCCACACTCGGAACTTCTTGACGAGTTCGAGACCTTTTTAGCGGCCGTGGAGAGCCATTTTGTTTTTTCCGGATCTCTAGCACTCGAGCGTAAGAAGCTCCGTCTTCGCGTTCAGCAGCCGGGAGAGAGTGTCACGGAATTTTTAGCGGCGTTACGCCATCAGCACGCGCTTTGCGCGTTTGAAGACGGGTCCGAGAACACGCGACTTTGTGATCTTTTTCTTGATGGTTTGATCTCGCGCCGTGTTCAGGATCGCATTCTTAGAGACTGCGTAGGTCGCCAGGTACCGACGCTTGAGCGCGCGATACAGCTCGCGCTGCAGTTTGAGCAGTTGGCACGCACAGCAGAGCAGTACCATCAGCCACCTCAGGGGGAGCCCGTCGCCAGCTGTTCCACTGCACCCGTGCAGTATGTTGCTGGGCCCGAGACCGAACAAGTACAAGCGGCTGCTCGTCATGACGACCAGTCTCCAGCACTCTTCTCGGGAGACGACTGTTTCAGCGAACATGGGGCAAGGTTCCCATCGTGGCCACGTGACCCCACCAGACATGCTCCGAGGTCTCAATGGGGGCGTCCTGGGACAGCCCATGCTCCACGCCCGCCGGCGCGACAGAGTAACATTCCACATCGAGACCCGCCTCCTGCGAGAACGGGGCCGCAACAGGACAACTACTCATGTTGGTTTTGCGGCCGAAGGAATCACGCCAGGGAGAACTGCCCTGCACTCAACTCGCAGTGTTTCCAGTGCGGTAAAATCGGACATTTTGCCGTCGTTTGTCGAAGCCGCGCGCCGCCGCCAGCCGCGGATGGTGGGTGCCGGCGACCTGCACTTCCAAGTCGTGGCCGTGGACAGAACTCCGGACGCCCGCGGAGGCCTGGTCCGACCACTGCGTTCAACTATAACGTCACCATCGACGGGGATGCTCCCGTCCTGTCTTTGGAGTCACAAGACCGCAGCCTGTACGACGCCTTCATTGCTGACGTAAAGGTAAACGGCTTGCCTCTCCAGTTACTGATCGACACTGGTTCGCAGGTTTCAATTCTGAACGAAAAGATTTTCGAGACACTTAACAAGACTAAAAAGATCTGCTTACGCAAGCCTACGAGACGGCTTATGCATTATCTGCATCAACCGATTCCTGTGTTGGGATGTTTCACGGCTCAAGTCGTATTCAAAAACCGACAGACGCCACTAGATTTTTACGTCATTCATGGAGGACGTTCTCTACTTGGTATTGACGCCGTCAGAGAATTGAAACTTCGGCTATCAGGAGCTGAATTTGAATGTTTTCATCTGGATGCAGCTGACCCAGGCCAAACGCCACGCTCCGATGTGAGGCCGGCGGGTGACCGTCAGCGGCGCCCGTTCACCGTATCGTCGCAGCGCTCAAGTCAGTTACGGCCAAATCTACCGAATGCCCATGGCATTGGTCCACAACCATCAGGCCAATCGTCAGTGCCACCAGGTACTAACGCAGCCCACCCTCAGTCAAGATCACCACTGGTCACCAGCGCAGCCCGATTACAGTCCCCAAGTACAGACAGCGTGGACGAGTTTTCCACGAAGGTGAAGCAGCCTGCGGTAAGCTGTACACAAGCTTCAAGCCCTTCTGTACAAGATACGTCAAAACTTCCACGCGGATTCGAGGAATTTGAGCATCTGTTAACATCAGAACTTGGCCTGCTACGAAACCAGACACACACTGTCAAGGTGCGCCAAAACGTACCTCCAGTACAGTCCAGGCTACGTCGCCTACCCATCAGTCTGCGTGAAGCGGTCTCAGAAGAAATTTTCAAGCTCAAGCGCCAAGGCGTCATCGAAAGAATAAATGCGTCAGAGTGGGTCTCGCCAATCGTTGTAGTAAGAAAAAAGGATGGCAGCATCAGGATGTGCGTCGACTTGCGTGCGCCCAACCAAGCCGTCGTCATAGATTCCTTTCCGCTGCCACACATAGAGGAGCTCCTCCACTCATTGCACGGAGCATCTCATTTTTCGAAGCTGGACCTGGCGTCGGCTTACCACCAGATCCGACTCGACCCGGTGAGCCGAGACCTGACGGCATTTATCACTCACGAAGGATTATTTCGCTTCAAGCGAGTTTGTTTTGGTTTGGCGTCCGCTCCCGCAGCGTTTCAGCAGATCATGTCTAGGGTTCTAAAAGATTGTAAGGGCGTCCAATTTTACCTAGACGACATCATTGTATACGGGTCTTCACAGGAAGAGCATGATTCGAACTTGCGTCAAGTCTTGTCCGCGATCTCTCGAGCGGGAATGAAACTTAATCGAAAGGGCGTTTTTAACGTACGCGAGTTGTCGTTTCTGGGCCACAGTCTTTCAATGGATGGTTTAGCACCCCTTCCATCAAAAGTAGACGACGTCCGGAACTTCGAAACTCCGTCAGACCCGTCGAAGTTGAAGGCATTTTTGGGATTAATTGAATATTACAGTAAGTTCATACCCCACTGTTCGACCATCGTCGAACCATTGCGTCGTTTGCTCCGCAAAGGCGTACAGTTCGTTTGGTCCCCTGAAGCTCAGGCAAGTTTTGCCAAGATAAAATCATGCATTCAGAATGCACCAATCCTTTCCATGTTTGATCCGACGCTACCAGTCATAATATCGACGGATGCATCAAACTATGGCTTAGGAGCTGTCTTGCAACAGAAGTACGGGAAAAACCTTCGGACGGTTGCGTTCGCATCGCGCTCGCTGACCGACGCTGAACGTAGATATTCTACGGGAGAAAAGGAGGCCCTAGCTTGTTTATGGGCATGTGAAAAATGGCATGTGTACCTCTGGGGTAGGCCATTCACTATTCGAACAGACCACCAAGCGTTAGTCACGCTGTTGTCTAACAAAGGCTCTGGGGTTCGCCCTTTGCGTATAACTCGATGGGCTTCGCGTCTCTTGAATTATAATTTTCGTATGGAGTACCAGAAAGGTGCCGACAATCTCGTTGCCGACGCGTTGTCTAGACTTCCCCTTTCAGACACAGAGAATGGTATGAATTTTGACGAAGACATAGTTTCCTTCGTGATTGCTCCAATATCACGCTCAGAATTTCAAGAAGCTACGGCATTCGACCCGGTTCTGCCCGGTGTGATGCACTACACAGCGTCATCTTGGCCGCAAGATAGCACCAGTATACCTGAACTGCGCCCTTACTTTAACGTCAGGGACCAGCTATCCGTTCACAACGACTTATTGTTACAAGGGGAGAAAGTAGTTGTTCCAGAAACACTCAGAGAGAATATCATCAATCTTGCGCACGAGACGCATCAAGGAATTACGAGAACCATCAGCGTCATCAGAGACCGCTACTGGTGGCCACGCATGGACGCCGAAATCAAGTTTAAAGTACAGCACTGTACTGTTTGCAACGCAACAGACAAGCCGGTTAAAGCAGCGCCTGCTCCTCTTCAGCCGGTCGAGTTCCCAGAGCGACCATGGGACAAGCTCGGTTTGGATATCGTGGGTCCCATCGACGGAGCTCCACCAAGTCAAAGATATTTCTTTGTCCTGATTGATTATCACTCGAAGTGGCCTGAAGTTCAACACACATCAGCGGCGACAACAGCTACGGTGATTACTTTTCTACAAAACATCTTCGCCCGGGAAGGTTTGCCCCGAGAGCTCGTCACGGACAATGGCGTTCAGTTCGTCTCTAGGGAGTTCGAAGAATTTTTGAAACAGCAAGGTATCAGGCACCTCAAGTCCTCCTTGTATCATCCGCAAGCAAATGGGCAAGTTGAACGGTTCAATCGAGTACTAAAGTCATGTTTACAACTGGCAACAGTTCAAGGACGACCACTTCCTGAAGCAGTTCGCGACTACTTAGAAGCGTACAGGCGTACTACTCACCCAGCAACGGGTCAGACTCCGGCAGTCCTTCTTCACGGACGAGTACATAGATCAAGACTGGATCTACAGGGTCTTCCGACACCCAAGGTGCCAGAGAGAAGCACTTCTCAGCTCCAAGAGCGAGTCAAGAGGTACCAGACAAAAATGAAGATTTACTCGGACGCAAGACGAGCTGTGAGACGGCCGAAGTTCATAGCCGGCCAAGCCGTCCGAATGTTTCGTCCACAATACAGCGACAAGTTGCACAGCAAATACACAGGTCCGCAAGTGATTGAAAAGCAAGTTGGCCCTGCCACATATCAGTTTAGCGACGGACGGAAGTGGAACGCTAAGAAACTCACTCCTGCACCTCTCCAAGATCAAGCAAGTGCGCCACACGCAAGCAGAGGAAATACAGAAAACCAACAACTGCAACGAGTAGATTCCTTTGACGAGGATGATGACGACGATTCAGTCACCGACACGTTAAACTTCCCAAAACTCTACGTAGCGACCAGATCGCCCACAGCTCTAAGGAGACCGACCACATCAAATGACCCGGTAACAACAACTCCTAAGTCCACGACAACTGATGAAAGAACAGCGGTAGCTCTTGTTGCCCAGCCGGAACCCGTAAAGTTTCTTCCAGCCAACCTAACAGTGGAGTATTTTGACCCCGTCGACACAAGCACTCCTGCGGCATCGCGCCCCGAGACACCACAGTCGATGCCGCCTCTCGAATCTTCACGAAGTGACATGAGTGATTCCGTGGTTGTGGCTGTGTCTTCAGTGGTACCAGTTGTACCACACCGCTCTGCCATGGATTCAGGGCCTGGTGAACCACGCGAACAATCTCAAGCTGGTCATCAAGCATCGCCTGCTGTTCCAAGGCGTTCTAAGCGGCAACGGCGACTTCCAGGAAGACTGAAAGACTACGTACTTTCGTTTCTTAGTGTAAATAACAGTAATACGTCTATGGACATGATTCACGAAATTGGACAAGAACCACAGATGTAATATATCTTTCCTCTCGCTTTGTTTAAGTGCATAACGCTAGTTTTAAGACATTATTGCAGTGCATAACGGAAGTCCGAGAGTAACTTATAGTAACGTGCATAACGCGAGTCAAAGTGATTATTTAACGGGAAAGGGTACTAACGTGCCTTCTAAAGGCGTTTAGAGCCAAGCGCTTACTAGTTTTTGGTTAGTCTAGTTATTGGTTACAAAACATAGGATGTCTAACAACTGTTAGTATCACAGCAATTTTAACTGTCTAAAATTACATCTTAAGTGTTTTTTTTAGGAATAGTATGACTAGTCTATTTTCAGTAATGGCTGGCTCAATAATTTAAAGAAAGGGAAAAGTATCATAAATTAATGCTCTGGTTATTAACAGACATGTTTATCGCTATTTCATATAAGAGAGGGAGAATGTAGTGATGTGTAAAAGAGAAAGTTACGTCAGATCATATCACGCGAGTGCACTGATTGGGTAGCGGTTCCCATTGTTATAAAGTCAATAAAAGGCGAGCGATCGGGCCGATCGCTCGAGGACACGCTCAGACCACAATCCAGAACGAACGTGTCCGTTGGCTTGCTCCTGCGGGATCTGATGTCGTCGGAGGAATCGCCGCTCCGAAATGACCGGCCGTCTCCCGGAACCCACACCGCAGCCCGGTGAGTCGGACCTCACGCATCCAGCGATGTCCCGGCGAACCTGCCTTTAGGTGAACGGCACTTCATCACCCCGAAGACTAGCTGGCCAGCGCGCGGTCTTATAATACTACACTAAGCTTCTTGAGGACGCAAGAAACGTGATCGTCTATGTGGACGCCAGCATCTCCTTTATGGGTTTGATAACAGCGGCCACATGCATCCAAGGAAACGTGACCTGGACAGAGACCCAAGGTAACCCTCGAGGCCACCACACGCCGGGCTTCGCCGAACGGGAGGCGGTGTTACAACAAGCCATCGGAGGGGCAGTACACTCTTAGAAAAAAGGGTATGGATAGTCCTCCCTTAGGGAGGAACGGTCTTGTAACCTATGTTCCTTTAGAAAAAGAGAAACTTTCGTCCCTGAAGCAGGGGAGCAAAGTTCCTGCGTCGCTTGCATCTCAATATGGCGGCCCTGAATCGAGCAAATCGGGCTCAGTGAGGCTTAACGAGGACGCTACGTCTCGTGTACAGGACGAGATCAGCAGCAAATAAAAGCGTAACACGAGCTTTCCGCGAACTGTGTTTCTTTCCGAAGGCAGGTTCCCCTATAGGTACAGAAACTTGCGTTTCGAAAGCAGTTACTCGGTCTTCTCGTCGACAGCACTGCGATGTTAAACGGAGACAACCGATACACAGTTACTTCGTGCACTTTGCGTCTTACCTTTGGTGTTCCTCGAGTCACAATTCTTTCGCCAACCGCACATCACGGAGAAATGGCAAACCTAGAGCACTATATAGCTCCTACGGAGCAGAGTAGCGCAATTCTTTGAACCCCGTGTTTTGCCGACAACATGGCCGACAGAGCGGCTCCGCGCGAGTCACGTGGTACTCAGGGTTCCAGGAGGCGGCCCGCCCTACGGGAGAATATATGGAGATCGACACAACACGGCTGATTAAAAAATGAACGGCGAGTTCACACTTTTCAAAACTAGTCTGTCGTGAAGTTAGTAAAGCAATAAACACTTTATCAAAGTTTTAATAATATCGGATGCGTGTGAAAATTTTGAGAAGGCAATTTCCAAGGCAATGGCGTTTGAAGCAGACGATGTTTGCTCGCAGCGGAGATGGGCTTTTCGGGTTGGCCGGAGCGGGTCACGTGAATGGTGTGACGTCGCAGTGTCGTCTGCTGCATGATGCTGCTCAGGCAATTAAAAAAAAAAAAGTCAGGTCCTTGCGGGGCACAAAACTTAGCGTGAATTATTCTAAAGTGTTCCATTATTATGTCAAAAACGATTGCGTTTCCGTATATTCCCACAACACTGAAGAAACAACGATTTTCTCACGTTCTCCATGCATTTCTGACCGCAGTTGGAACCTCCGGGCGTTCGCCGCTAGTCGCCGAGAGGCGGCGTTCTAGATTGCGCTACTCCAGAGCCGTGTATTGGGAGAGTTTGGCCAATAGGCGGAGCAAAGGCCGCCGCCAGCGCCGAATATTCCCCCGGCGCTTAGAGCGTAAACTAAATTTGTGACACAGCGTCGACCAATCAGGAGACTGCGACGTCACAATATTGCAAACGGCATTCAAAGCGTGAAAGAGAGGTGTTCAATCTCGGCCTCTCTGCTTTATCTCACAAATGTCGGCAGTGAAGACAAAGGTACAGGCGCGTGAACCTAGCTCAGCAAAACGATTTCGTTTGTACGAGAACTCGTGCATAGGAGCCACTTTCCAAAGCCACGCGCTCGTGCCCATGCCTTTCTCTGCACTGCTGATGTTGGCTTGTTAGAACAGCGTCCTGTGACTGGCGGAAAGAAAACAGCGCAAAGGGTGGGGAGCGCGAGCGTCTCGAGACGCGGAGTCCCGCTCGGCTTGTGCGCTGGCTTTGGCAGTGATTTCTTTCACCGTCTCAGCTGAGACGCTGTTTCTAGCAAGTTGGCCCTGGTTTGGAGCGCACGTTCGTTAATTCTACACTTGAATATTGGCGTGACGAAAACCTCGCACGCACGAAGTTTTCAGTCACTGAGAGTTACACCTTTTAACTCTAGCGACGCTAAAACGGCTTGAATTAGTCGTGTCACAAATTTAGAGCTCACAACCACCGCTAGGGACTGTTTCGCGGCCTGTGGTTGGCCCCGAGATGCTCGCCTATTCAAACCAATGTATGGCCAAACTCTCTCGATAAACGGCTCTGCGCTACTCTGCTCCGAAGGAGCTATATAGTGCTCTAGGCAAACCAATCCGCGAAACCAAAAGCCGCTCTCAAAAGAACAAACTCGAAGCCGCTGCATATCGCGTAGCGTGAAAGAAGGCTAAATCGCTGTCCACCAGATGGCAGGGTCAAGTAGAGTAATTGCAACTTGCTAGGCTAGGTGGCGCTAGGTACCGCCCAATTCATGTTCTAGAAAAAATAATTTCATTTTCTCTGGCTACTACAGCGCATGAGAATCCTCTACTATACACACATTACGCACGGAAGGCACCCAGGCAGCCGGCAGCAAAACCTGCCTGTCTCTGCCTGTCTTGGACGCAGTCCCTGCGGTTTCCATAACGTCGAAGACGTCGACACTGTTCTGCGTGGTTTCGCTACTGTAGTTCCGTGCCGTGCCGCGTGAGTCCCGCAATCCGGAGTCGGCTAGAGCACTATATAGTTCCTACGGAGCAGAGTAGCGCAATCCTTCAGGTGAACATACATTGAGCACATACACATACATGGCACATACAAACATCAATACAGCGGCACACCACACTAGCCCGAACACTACACCCGTGCTCTGCGTTTCCGTCTTTTATACTGGTTATTTTGAACGTACAGAATTTTTCGGTGACTGAATAAGCAATAAAAAATATTACCAGCATGTTGATTCTTTTCCAGCAATGTCATACCTCTGAGAGTATTTGGAATGGCTCAGGGGATGAATCTCTTATTAAAAAGCAAACGCTCGATCACGCCGTAATTATTTGAAAGCAATAAATCAAGCCGCTCCAATGCGGTTCGAAGCCATGAGTTTGTTTCCCCGCACGGCACGTCGTAGCCTGTATTTCTATTGTAGTGTTCGTTTTTCTATTTGTGCTGTTCGCGCAAAGCTGCAATTGCCGTCTTGAATTAATCTCTGTAGAGCTGATATTCACTCAGCTGGAAGTGATGTTTCACGGTCTGAGAAATCGCTTTTCGATCAACTTGAATGCAGTCAAAGCCACGAGTTGCGGCAGGTGTTAAGTGTACGGAGCTACGCCGTGGCGAGCTCGAAAACTTCTAGCGCTCATCCCAGCGCGCCACTTGGAGGACAGTTTCTCCAGGAACCGTAGTATATTTAAACAGCAAAATAAAGGGTAGCTTTTTCTTTTCGGTTTTACCTACTATTGTTTTTTAATGCTAAAATTCCACACAGTAAATATACGTACTTTCCGTCACGATTTCGTACTGTTGTCCTTTCCCCAGAGCGCAATCGCTCTTGGGGACAAGACAGCCGACAGTCACATTTGCCACTGTACGATAGGAGCTTACTGTTCAGACCAGCGTTCCAACATGACTATCCGCACGTCGATCGATTGCACGTAATTCCTCAAGTGGTATTAAACTTTTTAATGTAAAGCGAAATGTCAACCTGTGACACCCCGCCCCCTCCGATCACGGCCCGACCAGCGGCATCAATGCCCGACGGTTTACGATCTCATCTTGTTACACTACTGATACGCGAACACACGGTCACATCGGCAATAATTGCAGTCTTCTGTTCACAACCCACAACACTGCCATCACGATGTTGCTGCTATGTTGCTGACACGCACAAATACAGAACCGTGTTGAACGCCGGTTGCACTCGGCATCGGAAAACAGAACCGAACTCAGCACGGAAGGCACCCAGGCAGCCGGCAGCAAAACCTGCCTGTCTCTGCCTGTCTTGGACGCAGTCCCTGCGGTTTCCATAACGTCGAAGACGTCGACACAGTTCTGCGTGGTTTCGCTACTGTAGTTCCGTGCCGTGCCGCGTGAGTCCCGCAATCCGGAGTCGGCTAGAGCACTATATAGTTCCTACGGAGCAGAGTAGCGCAATCCTTTGAACTCCGTGTTTTGCCGACAACATGGCCGACAGAGCGGATCGGCGCGAGTCACGTGGTACTCAGGGTTCCAGGAGGCGGCCCGCCCTATGGGAGAATACATGGAGATCGACACAACACGGCTGATTAAAAATGAGCGGCGAGTTCACACTTTTCAAAACTAGTCTGTCGTGAAGTTAGTAAAGCACTAAACATTTTATCAAAATTTTAATAAT